GGAATATAACGATCAAGTTCTTAATATTGATGAAAGTGTTAATTTCTTGGGTGTGTGCCTTGACAGTCATCTCAAGTGGAAACAATATTCCGATAATTTAACAAAAAAATTAAGTACTGCAATTTTCATGCTTAGAAAATTGCAGCCTACGGTGAGTGGACAAGTTTTACGTATGGTTTACTTTTCTCATGTGCAGGCTCAACTTAATTACGATATCATTTTTTGGGGCTCTTCTTCATTAATGAAAAGTATATTTACTGTACAAAAAAGAGCATTAAGAGTCTTGTTAAGATTAGGGCCAAGGAGTTCATGTAGGGAAGGCTTTAAGACAACGGGCATACTTACTGTCCCCTGTTTATATATATATTCCATAGTCTTGTTTGTACTCAAAAATCCTGATATGTATCAGGTGAATAATGGCATACACAAATTAAGTACTAGGTGGCATAATAAACTACATGTTTCCTTTGTGAGATTATCTTCCATTCAAAAGAGTGTGCATTTTTCATCCATTAGAATATTTAATAACTTGCCACACAATATATATTCCTTGAAAGACAATATTAATACTTTTAAACAAAGGCTAAAAGATTATCTTATTTTAAATGCATTTTATTCGGTAGATGAATACATGGCATACAGGCAAGCATAATACATTATTGTTGTCTTTCCAAGATTATGTATTATCTAGATTTGTTATATGACTGCTTTTTATTTTATTATTGTGTTTTTATTTTATAATTCTTGAATATTTTAATTGTTGAGACTAGATTGCATTTTGCAATGTCATTTTGCTGACGAATTCAATATCCAGTCCGGTTCCCAAACAATGGATCTGTGAAATTATGTATCTATGTATGTTTTCTACTGCCTTATAATGGCATCCTACAATGGGTCACTAATTTCTGATTCTTCAGTTGACAATATTGTAGGTATATGGAGACAATGTTCCTTTCACCATTTCCAGGTTTTACACCATTAGCATTGAGTAACATAAAATATAGATTATCTTGCCAACTAACATCACAAATGGATGCATGCTTCTTATGTCAAACTGATCCATACCAAAATGAAATTTGTTCAGCAACTTATTCCCATACCATCTTTCATCTGAATCCATTAAACTGTTTAAAACAAGAAACACAGATGTACAAATATAGCCTCCATATTGTATATGCATTTTATGAATTTCATGTAAAGAACAAATAAAAAGTTTGCAGAAAGTAGTTCATATTCATATTTAATGTGTCTTCCAGAGATCTATGTACTCTTAGTTCCTTGGAACTCTAGCCATGGTAGAGGGGTCATACCATCTCTCGCGGAGCTGGGGGGCAGTCTTATCAGCTTACATCAGCATGGGTACTACCAGTTTGGAATGTAACATCTTGGAGTGTGGTCAGGTGTACAGTACATTGTGTTGCTTGTTAGTTGGTCTCCGTAGGCAATGTTATCCGCTTGGGGAGTAGCTCTGAACGTCACTACAGCAAGCGTATAGATTGGCGTGCTCCACAACAGCGTTTACCTTTCTGCACAGCTAAAGTTATGAGGCACTAACTATACGTAGATATAGAATCCATCGTTTATACTAGATAACAAAATAATAATAAGATATTTAATCATACATATAAATCTGACTGGATATCACAAAGTGTAAAACATACATATGTGTCTGTGATAGGCCACTAGGCAAGGTAAGACTATAATAAAATAATTGATCATACAATGTAAATCTGACTGTACATACATTTCACAATAACAATCATTTAATGTTATATTTTAGCGTCCTGTTGCACTGATTTAAGTCCATGATTTATTTTATCCGTCTTCTAGTGCATACATTCCTCTATCCCCTCTTCTCACTCTCACTACATGTTTCGGCACAAATGTGCCATCTTCAGGTGCTGATCCAATCCACGACAAACTAGTTCATTGCATGCCTTGTCTATACATACTAAAATAACTAAAATATATATTTATCATATATACTGATAAATGTTAAGTGTTAAAATATTAAAATTGTACAGCATATTTCATTCTTACGTCGTGTTTCATTACGCGAGTCACGTCTATCATCTTCTGTTGGAGCACTCTTTCACTATCGTGTATTGTGCTCTATGTTGCGTCTCGCTCCTGTGACTGCGTGTGTTATACTGCTGGACCTGCTGGACCCAGCAGGTCCAAAATATATATTTTAGTTATTTTAGTATGTATAGACAAGGCATGCAATGAACTAGTTTGTCGTGGATTGGATCAGCACCTGAAGATGGCACATTTGTGCCGAAACATGTAGTGAGAGTGAGAAGAGGGGATAGAGGAATGTATGCACTAGAAGACGGATAAAATAAATCATGGACAACAATCATTTATGTACAAAATATAAAACATGCACATACATCTACAATGGTCCACATATAATATATCACTCTTATCATCATAATACATGGCTTAATTATGAAAGCTTATTGTTTTAATCCTATCTCTAGTCATGTTTCAATTTAAAAAATTCCTCAATGGTATAAAAGGAATTCTGTAATAAGAATGTTGTCAACTTAAATTTAAATCTCTTCATGTCATTAAACATAGACTTAATTTCAGTTGGCAGATGGTTGAAGATCTTTACTCCCATATAACATATTCATTTTTGGAATAGTGTTAAGTTATTTTGGGGGTAGTACTGATCATAAATACATATGGTTCTGAATTGTCATGCAACTTGGTGTATATTAATAAGATTGTAAATTAAATTTACCTAAGACTCTATCCATATTGCAGTGTAAGACCTAGCTGTTAAAAAATATGGCTAATTCTGTCAGTTATGTTAATTTTTTTACACAAGTGCATTGTAAATGTGACCATTTTGCAGGGTATCTCTTGGCAAACAGTGTGCTACATGTTGGGAGAAGTGCAGTATGGAGGGCGTGTAACTGATGATTTTGATAAGCGCCTGTTGACAACATTCACACATGTGTGGTTTTGTGATGTGCTGCTTCGTCCAGGATTTGAGTTTTACAAGAACTACAAGGTTCCCATGAGTAAAAACCTCCAAGACTACATTGACTACATCAATGGTCTGCCTTCAACAGACACACCAGAAGTATTTGGCCTTCATACCAATGCTGATATCACGTGAGTCTTTGCTATGTATGTAATCTTTCACCATTATATGCAATGGGTGATGTTTTCTGTCTTCTGTAATATCTGCAGTGAAGTAGTTTCATAAGGAAGGAAGGAACTAATAAAGAAATTCTCACACTGTAATTAATGAACTAACTCACTTCATGGAGCAAAGGCCTATTTGAGAACCCAGTAGTCTCTCAGCTACTCATTCCTGCCTAATGTAGAACCATAATGTTCATAACAGTGTTCACAAGAGTCTTCCTCTGATCCCTATCATAAGCCAGATGAAACCAAACCACAGCCTCCCATCCAGTATCTTTAGGATACATATTAATGCCATACCAAGATTTTAATCTAAATACACAAAAGTAAAAATGAATCAGTACAAATCTCGCCAATATTACAAGGAAGGGCATCATTTAAAAAGTTCTAATAGACCGGCTAATTTCTTTTCTGAAAATATAGCTGTGCCTGACAAAAAATAGAATGTGAATACAGAAGTCAAACTAAAGCAAAACTTTATTCAGCCATAGAAACTTTATGTTGTCAGTGCTTATCTGCACACATGCCCATATGTGTAAGCACTGATTCCAAAAAAAATGTTAATCCCCAAAAGAAGTCAAAATAATATTAATTTAATATTATTACAGTATCTTTTTGTATATTTTTTAATTTACATGTGCATGGTGTGATCAATTAGTTTCCTGACTGACTACAGTTGTGACAAAATGTCTGATGTAAGTGGAGCTAGATTTGAATCTGCTGGGTCATATGCCATTCAGTTCAGAGTTTTGGCTTTCGTCACTCAGAAATAATATCTTACAAACTGAGGTTATGCATTGTGTCTTTGTGATTTGCATTTTAACAGAAAGTGGCAGACTTTGATGCATAACACGTGAATCAAGATCAAGCTAGGTAAAGCTGCTGCAGAAGCCCTGATTGGTTTTCAGTTTTGGAGTGGCATTAGTTAATGATGCACTTTATGAAACACATGTATGAAAACAGACTAGTCACTCTCTGTAACTTGGCTAATGAGGTGGGAGTCTCATAAATTTGTTTCCTTGGCACTACAGCCCCAGTGGGCCTAGGCCTACCTCCATGAACTTCTCTGTTCACTTCAGCTTTTCTAGATCTTACACATTCGGTAGGACTCCTTGGGCGGGTGATCAGCTCGTCGTAAGGCCTCTACCTGTATACAAACACAGGAAAACGTGCACACACAAACTAAAGATCCATGCCCTGAGTGGGATTCGAATACATGATCCCAGTTTCCAAGTGAGTAAAGACAGTACATGCCTTAGACCGCTCAGCTACCATGACTGGCTCTCATTTATATTACACAAAAGTATTCTGACACAAGATCTGAACATGTTATGGATTTCCACAAAATTCATGGAATATCTACCAATAAGCAAAAGCAAAATCATATTACTATGCACTAGAACTTCATAAAAAAGACTTCAGCAAACCCCACAGTGTCTTTTGTATCAAGTTGCTAGGGAATTACTGTACTTCATAGGAGACAGCATTGACTAAAAGATAAATCAGTTATCACAGAGAAAACAGAGTCCAGTAAGTACGATCATACCATGTACTTTAAAATACATACCCAAAGCTAATTTCCTCCAGATGTGCCATTAAAGATTAAATGTTGTACTTAGAAACATTATAACCAATAAGATATATGCTATACTGTCAGGATTAGTTCACAAGTAATGAACCAGACTTCAATTTGTGAGTTGGGTAGCGAGCTGGGGAAACATTTATCCTGACTGAAGTCCTTTCTAGTCTTATTCTGTTAATCTTGGCAGAAGTTATAAATGCTTTCCTTCAGTTCTTTGTAACTCAGCTTCATGATCATTCTAACATCTCATTTAGAGCATCATAGTCTTTCTATTTGCTACAACACTTCAAATATTATATGAACAAATGACTGAAACAAGTGATCAATTGATTAATCATTCATCCAGTTAGAGAAGATTTGTAATCATGTGCATTTAGAATACTAAAAGTCAGTATGGAATCTGAGGTTCTCACAACACTGTATATCTAGATTATGGTCTTTTGGGATGTGACATTAATTAGTTCAGCAGAAAGGAATAAAAGCAGTAATTTTGAATCTCTGTTTTGTGTACTTGCTTCTCATATTGTTTTGACTCTTATGTTTTTATGTTTGTGTCTCTCATTATAGAGGAGGAAGTTGATTCTCACAGCAATGAGTATGAGGAGCACACTCTTCTGGGTTGTAACATCATGTAATTCAAAGAGAGTTCAACATTTCAGGGAACAGTAGGCATTCTTCCAACTACATGGCATTACAACCCAGGAGATCATACTCTTCATAAATTATAAGTGTTTGAAAACAAAGTTCCTAATAAAATATCCATACCTGAAAGTGATAAATTAAGTGAGCAGTTCAGTAAAAGACATGACAAAACTCTGTACAGTCTGAAGGTTTGTACTGATGGTGAGTTATTAAACTGACACATACATTCAACACTGTCCATTGTCTCAGTCTGGTTATAGAAACACAGAATTTCAGAAACTAGTTCTGTCTCCATTACCAGATGAAAGTAAAAACGTACTTAGTTGGACACATTAAATAGAAATTAGCTCCAGTTAATAGGGCCAGCCAAGTAAGTTTCTACTGCCACCTGAAAATAAACACAGAACCAGTTTTAAAACTGCTATGTTTCCTTAACCAAAAATTAAATGATAAAAAAAATCCCATATAGACGTCAGTTTAAGAACGTATATAATTTTTACAAGTCATCTAGTATTTTGAGAATAGTGAAATGCAGGATGTTAGCGTTGGCTGGCCACGACTGTAGATGAATAAAGGAACAAGAAATGAATTCAGAATTTTGGCTGGCTAAGACAGTCTGAGGATAACATTACGATGGAGTTTATAGTATATTACAAGAACAGGAAGTGGTATAACTGTCTCAGGATCATGTTCAATTATAGGCTATGGTATCAGCAATAATGAACCTTGAGTTTTTGTTAACATTGTTAAATCATTTTTTTTTATTTTAATTATTACAAACACATTATATGTTCCACAGATACCAAATCAACACAGCTAAGGGTATCCTAGATACAATCCTCAATGTCCAGCCCAAAGAGGGTGGTGGAGGTGGTGGTGAGACAAGAGAGAGTGTCGTTTATCGGCTTGCAGATGATATGCTGGAAAAATTGCCAAAAGAATACAACAGTTTTGAGGTATGTAGAAAATCATAATATAATATGAAATTACTTCTACAACTATTCCTGGCTTGTGGGTCAGTGGATTTCAGCATTAAGGAAAAATTTTATTCAATGGAATTTAAGTCTGAGGTTATAGATCTGTGTTCAGTGAAAAAAGGTGTTATATGAAGGAGAACCTTAAATTGAGAAATATTAAATAGCAGTTCCTGTGTACATATTAACACAGACTTATCAATACAGTGGTATATGATCCTTCTTGAAAACTTAGTACTTCCTCAACCCATCATAAAATTCATTGTTTTTATGGAATCCAAAGGTTTACTGTCATAATCACAACATCCACTATTCAGTAAATGAATCCAATGTACATCTTCTTACCCTAATATCCACTGTAAGATTATCCTCACCACATGTCACAGTCAAGTGGAGAGCAGGCTCAACTTCTGCTTCTTAGGTTCCAGGTTAAATACTGGGACTGGAGACCAGCTATTCTGACTGAGTTTTTTTCTCAGTCCTGCAGGCAAAGTTTGAGATCATACCTTAACATAGGTCATGACTGAATCCTTCCACATCATTCCCACTTTGTCAGTCATATCCTCCCCCCCCCCCTCCATTGAATACTGTATAATCTAAGGAACTCAGATAGCACCTCCTCCAGGTGTTACAAGTGGCCCCTTCCCTTCAAGTTTTCCAGTCAAGAGTTCAAATCAATTTCTCATATCCCACATGTGGGACAGAGTATTTTACTGGTATATCTAAGGAATGACAGACCTCGTCCTGGGATAGGAAAATAATCTTTTATTCAGTCAAAGCCTTCACCTTTTTCAAATCGTAGACTGTGGGAATGTTGAGGATGTTAGGGCCTTATCATCATTCATTACATACATCAAGCTGTAAGACTCGTATATTGGCTCTTACTGCGGTATAGTATGTTCAAAGCATATCTTATTTGTAGAGCCTGGATCTTTATGCGCTAAAAACACTTAAAATATGAACTAAAAAACTTAAAATATGCACTAAAAAGCGGGAAGATATGCACTTAAGAAACAGGTCACTTTATTCACTCACCTATTTACACGTACCATTCACTGCAGAAAGTAGCATCTCAATAGGCAACTAGAAGTCTTTCAATGTTTTCTGGAGACAAACTATGTCTATTGTCCGTCAAAATGGGTTTATAGGCCAAGAATGATCTTTCTACAACAATTGACCTGATTGGACAGTATTTATACACTGGCCCCGAAGGTTCGGAACATTCATCTGGCAAAGATACCCTTAATCCACTCAAGTACTGACTAACTGACAATCTTTTTTAGTCCTGGGTTCAAATTCAGCTATTTCTTACTTGCATTTAATTTTCTCTCCAGTTTCGCCTGGAGCAGAATTCAATGAACAAGTTGCTTTCTGAACGAGTTCAAGTGAGTCATGAAGGAGTTCACCACAAGATTCTAAGCTCTCAGTGGCTTTTGAAACTGTAGCAAAATGCGCATTGATAAAATTCAAATCCTGAGAAACAGTATCACATCCAAACACCACTTTTGCTTCACGGACACATGCATACTCATCTTCAAGTTTTGCAACCACTTCTTTCACTTGATTGAAATTCTCCTGATAAAATGAAACTGCAGATAACCATGTCCCCCACCTAGTTAGGACAGGTTCAGGTGGCAGAGGAACCTGAGGTAGGCAACCTTTGTAGAACTGGACACGAGCTGGTGCTTTCAGAAAAAGTTGTTTTCCTGTTTGCAATTAAATCGTAAACAGCTGAAAACTGTGCACATATTTTTTCTGCAGTATGGTGTAACCCATGCGCTAAACAGGTTACGTGTATAAGATTTGGATAAAATACTTGTAAGGCCTTTGCTGGGGCCACACCATAGTTCAAGCGGTTAGTCGCAGGCTTCCCACCGCGGCGGCCCGGGTTCAATCCCAGGTCTGATCAAGTGGGATTTGTGGTGGACAAAGTGGCGCTGGGGCAGGTTTTCTCCAAGTACTTCGGTTTCCCTTGCCAATCTTCATTCCACCAATTGCTCCACAATCACCCTCACCTATCATCTGGGGCGGGTACAATAGGTCAGAAGTGGCCACAGTACAAGGGACTTAGTCCCACCCCACTAGCAATAAAAAAAAAAGGCATTTGCTGCTTTCAAACCAGAAAGCAAACCAAGAAACAATCAGCAAGGTAGTCATCAATCCAACATTAGTTGAAAAATTCATGAAGAGAATAGAAAGCCTTGCACAACAAATTTTTTTTTATAGTTTCCTCTTAAAAACATTAAAATTTTTAACACTTTTAAATTCAAGGGGAAAGTAATTAAGTATTTTAGTACCCATATTAATTACACCTTTTTTGCAACGATCGGTATTACAAAATTGGACGTACAAATTATGTTTATGTATGGTACTGTAGCTGTGAATGTCAGAATACTATGTTGTATATATCTTATTCTTTATTATAAAACATAAAATTCACCCAACATATTTCTACAGGATACTTATTATTAACACCTTTAATCGCTCTTAGACATTTGTTCTGTATTTTAAATACAGTTTTGGAATCCTTAAGCCCCCCACCCCAAAAAATAATACCATATTTTAATACAGATTCAAATTTAGTAAAATAGACATTTCTTAATACAAATTGGCTGTCTGAGCATTGTAGGAATTTAATCAAATAAAGAGCCTTGTTGAGCTTTTGGCGTACATATTGAGTGTGAGTTGCCCAGCTTAGATTTTCAGTAATACAAATACCCAAAAATTTTACATTCAGTGAATAAATTATTTCCTTATTATTTAAGCAAAACACAGGTCAATAGATTGGAGTAGGTCTTTCCCTGAAAGAATAATACTTTAGTCTTATCCATGTTTATTATGAGATGATTTTCATGGAACCAATTTTTTAATTTATTCCTAACATTTAGGATTTTCTCATTTAATGATAAGACAAGGCCTTCACTTGTATGATCATGTGCTGGTTTTATTACATTCACATTATTTTTGTGTGTATTCATTTCCTCATGTAGCAAAACTTGTTGTGAATGGTGTTGACTGTCCACACTGGGATTGGCTGAGGCCATGAACTGGAAGACTATTCACCATCAATTTTCCAACAGTTTAATAGCATAACCATGCCATTGTTTTTAGACCTCTCTGCCGTTTTGTAGGAATGGTTGATTATAGCTTCTTAATACTGATTTTCTGATTTTTTGCCACCTGATTTTCTTTCCTTCTCATTCTTTTATAAGAGTTAATTTCGTTTGCTAGTAATTATTTCAGAACACACATTATTCTAATGGCAATTAAGTGTTTTTTTCTAAATTAATTTTTGTTATTCTGTAGTAATACCCATCTTCATAAAATGATATGCTATGATATTTTATACTTGTTTATTGCTCTATTATTTCTTACTTTTATTTCACTAAACTTTGTCTTCATAACAGAATTTATTGATGCATTTCAGCATTTTCTCACTATATTTTATATGTTCTCTTTCTGTGTAGGAATGAAAATCATCATAATATTTTCTTCTTGTAGTCTCATATTTGTAAAATTAGACACTGCAAATTCGAATTTCAATTGAAGTAAATTATTTGTAGTAATTATAGAAATCATGTTCAAATGTATAATTGAAGTTGAAATACATTGTTTGTATAAATATAAAAAGAGGCCCTAACTACCTCCATGAAGCAGAGTTCTTCAAAATTCCTGTAGTTGCTCAGCTAGTCAATAAATTGCCCCTTTATGTGGAACCTGAACGTTAATTGCCATTGACCCCTTTCCTGAACCAAATGAATCCTGTCCCCACCATCCCATCCTATTTTGTAAGATCCATTTTAATTTTATTCCCCCCATTATCCCCAAATAACTAGGCGCTGCTATGTAAAACTTAAATTGCAGTAGGTTATTTATATAATTATAAACTGGACAATATGAAGTTGAATTTAAGCTTAAGCATATAGCATTGAGGCACAGAAACATCATTGTGGTAATTATGGCCATCCTATATTTAGGTGAAGGAAGCATTACAAAGAATGGGTGCCCTGCTTCCAATGAACATCTTTCTTCGCCAAGAAATTGACCGTATTCAGCGTGTCATCAAAGTAGTACACTCAACCCTCTGTGACCTCAAGCTTGCCATTGATGGTACCATTGTTATGAGCCAGGGCTTGCGAGCATCTCTGGATGCAATGTATGATGCCAGAATACCTGAATGTTGGCTGAAGGTTAGTGTTCAAGCCATGTAAGAAGTATTTATTACAAAGTATTGCATTTTCTAATAATTATGTTAACTGTATCTATAGAGTGGAACCCTGATATAATGTTCCCATATTTATTAATACTTTTACTGGTCCCAGCCAATGCCTCATAAAAATACTGTATTATTTTCTCATGTTTAGTGAATTTTCATTTAGTCAGTAACCCATACTTAGTGTAAGAAATTATCTGCCTCCCAGAACTTTTACCGCTGTTTAGTGTGATTTTGGTTGAAACAACGGTTGATACTCATATTTGTCACACCAGAAAAATTACTGCACAACCCATAATCTTTGACAAATGAAATCAAATACTGAACATGCACCAAAGCCATGCTACTTGTGACTTTATAGTTTATTTGTTTCTTAACTGATTTCCTTTCATAGCATATTTCATATATCATTAATTAGTTTAAAAATTAATTTGGCTTTAACAAATAAATTAATAGTGAGAATTATTAATAATAAATATAATAAATTTTAAGTTCCCCCTCCGTGCAAAAAGTTATTTATACATACCAAAAAGCATTGTACTCAAATTGTTTTCCAGGTGTCATGGGAGTCTGCAACATTAGGGTTTTGGTACACTGAATTGTTGGAGCGTGATGCACAGTTCCGTCACTGGGTAACTAATGGCCGTCCGAATGTATTCTGGATGACAGGTTTCTTCAACCCACAAGGTTTTCTCACTGCTATGAGACAGGCAAGATTAATTATTCTCTTTCTTCATATTTTTTGGTACAGATTGTCATCTATATGAGTGACTCTTGACAGGGTTTTTGATTGGATATTAGATTTACAAGTATTGACCACTTTAGCACATAACTCGTAATTACACTTAATTATAGCACCATCGCTGATCCCCACATTTTACAAATCACTAGAGCACACAGACTAGTGTCCTCAGTCTATTACAGTTTTTGCTAGTCGTTTCCTGATAAAAACTTCTAACAGTATATATTCATCTGCTTCCAGATTCAGGTCCTTTCTGAATGGCAGCTCCCTTCCAACTGAACACTCTTGCAACTAATTCGTTGCCCAAAAGTTTCCTGGTTATAATATCTTTTCACAAACCACACAGAAAAGAGTGTTCCTCTATTGCTTGTTCAGTTGTTGCCATTTAGCTGTCACTTACCAGTAATCTGCTGCCTAGCAACAGACATTGTTCCATTGTTTGTATGTCGGCTGTTTCCTAGAGGTGACTGTTGCCCTAGAGCTGTTTGCTAGCAATAGCTGCTTCTCTGGCTCCACAGTTCTTGCTTTTAGCAAGTATGCTGCAATTTGGTCACAATTGTATTCTTATAATTTTATGGAAGCCACTGAATTACAGCTGTGTTGGACACTTTTTCAAATCCATTCTCAAAACTTACCTCTCATGTGTAAGTGAATTTGTTGCTGATCATATGTGGTGAGCTTATTGTGGTGATAATAGTAACATTAGAATGTTGTCGCCCATCTTAAATAAGTGGCAAATCAAATTACGTGCAGTCAAATAAGAGAAGTTTGGGTCAGTCGTAAGTCTAACCATGAACAGCAAAAATCATATGTGATATCAGCAAGTCCCATGGTAATTAATGACTACTACTTTATACCAGGTCTGCAGCTTCACTGTTACTACCTCTTCCACTGTTTATATTGGATCTTTGTTGAATTTCCCCACTGATAATAATTTTGCTCCTTTTTCATATTTACCATGAGCAATCTTAGAGCAACTGATCTCAGTTTAAACTATTGTCTTGTCATCTCTGCAAGAATGATGTACACTGACTCTCACAAAATTTATAATATATCTGTCAGGCCATTTTCAATTGATATGACTAATATAAATGTAGTTTATGGGTTCTTATCACAGTGAATGCTCACTTTTGGCATGATTTATTTCTGACTAGTTTTTTCTTCTTTTTTAATTTCTTGTGACTTTTCATATTAGATTCATGCAAGACTTGTTTACCTTTGACTTGAGCTGTGAAATTATTTTTATACCAGGAGGTGACTAGAGCACATAAAGGCTGGGCATTGGACTCTGTGGTGCTCCAGAACCTCATCACTCGCCACAATAAAGAAGATCTGACAGACTCCCCTCCTGAAGGTGTTTATGTGCATGGTCTCTTCCTAGAAGGTGCTAGCTTAGACCGGCGCACTGGAAAACTCTTAGAGAGCAAGCCCAAAGTTCTGTATGAGCAGATGCCAGTTATATATATCTATGCTATTAACACAACAGCTGGAAAAGACCCCCGGCTCTATGAATGCCCTATCTACCGCAAGCCTCAAAGAACAGATCAAAAGTATGTGGGGTCCATAGACTTTGAGACAGAAAACAATCCCAGACACTGGACTCTGCGTGGAGTTGCTTTGCTCTGTGATATCAAGTAAATTCAAATCAGAAGTAATGGAGGGATTTCACCAAAGACTCTTTGGCTGTACACTACAGCGCATCATGCCAGCACCATATTTCACAGAACAGAAGAATATTCTTGCTATAAAATCAAGAAAATATTTTTAGTTTTATCAATTATATAATATATAATTTATTGCTCTCAGAAGAGAACAGTATTATCTCATTTACTGTTTTACCATAATTCAAATATGATAAATGCTTGATATGTCATAGGCTTATATTAATTATTTTCATGTAGTAATAAATATATATGAAAGATTAATGCGGTTAATCTCTGATTCCTTGCCTCCATTCTGCATTACAGATTTTGTGAGCAGAAAACTGACTGTGCACTTATAAAGAATGTGTATAATGTAACAGATAATTCTTTCATATCTCAAACAGGAAAATTCCACAGCCTGGTTCTGTGCACACCAACTTTCAGTCTGGCATGTAGTGTATATATATTAATAATGATCTACATATACAGTTAGCGGCTTCCATGGTCTAGGGGTAACATTCCCACCTCATGACTCAAGGTACGCGGGTTCAAACCCGGCGGAGGTCGTGGAATTTTTAAGGGCGGAAAAATTCAGGGAACAAGTCCTCCAGGAGGGACTTTAAGCCATGTGTCCCATGTTGTAGATTTACGGCACGTAAAAGATCCTCATGTTTCTAGGAGACATCTGAGCAAAATTAGGCAAAGTTTCCTGCCCAAGTACTTTCCAATTCCTCCAGTAGATGGGGAAGTATCGGGGATCACTGCCAGAGAGGTGGCCGACCTCGCTGGCAGGATGGAGCTGATAGCGAACACCAGTACCGAAAGGGCATGGCGACTGGTATAATATCAAAGGGGGACGTACAATAGACTATTAGTCGCGGTGCATGGGGAAACCCACCCCCTCCAATAATAATAATAATAATAATAATAATAATAATACATATACAGTTCATTTGTTAGTTTCCATATTATTTGGTTAAAACTATGGCTTCATCAGGAATAAGCTAGACATTATCTCATTCACTAATAAACCTTACCAGAACTCATAAAGCCTCTTTTCCTATTGCACAGACTTTCAGTCCTACAAGTTTTGCAAAAAGAAATAAAGTGGAATTTAGCTTATAAATTACTGTGCTGGGCTTAGTCATAGATGTTCCCATGATAGAATCCTACTAGAGCATACAAAGAGAACCAGTGTTTCGTTAGCTGTATCTAGTAAACTGAAAATTAAATCAGTAGTGTGCATGGCCACTATCTCATAGGTCTGCATAGAAAACCAGTGGTTAATTAGCTGTTGCTATTAAACTGAAAATATAGCAATATTTTGCATGGCCACTATCTTATATTTTTGCATTTTACTTAAAAATTACTGCTACAAAATTTTTAAATTTTTCAAAGTTATATCACCATATGCCATTTCAGGATGCTATATTAAATGATGCTAGTGTAACTCCCCCCTTACAAATTTGTGGCCTCTGCCATATTGTTATTACTAACTGTTACATTGCAAAAGAAAATTGTTAGAATCATGATGGGTGTCAAATCCCATAATTTTTGTAGATCTATTTAAGAGACTACACATCTTAACTTTGCCTTGTGAATATATATATACATATATATAGCGACTTCTACTGCACACACCGAACGGTGAGGACGTGTTTCGTGTATCTCTCCGTGAACTGTGTACATAGTAAACAGTATAATTCATAAGACACAGAGTACTCGCTAGAGGCTCTTAGCATAAACAAGTAGCTGCAACCCGACCCAGTGAGTGCAATAACTAGTGAATTACTAGCGAATTTCAACAACATCAAGAATCAACTGTAGTCAAGGAGTTGACTACGGGCACGTACAACAAAGTAATGTAAGTAGACATTAGACGTAATCATGTTTCCGTACGGAACTAATTCCGACCAAACCAACATGATAAGCACCCAGCCACCAAGTCAATGGCAC